TGTTCAATAACTGCAGAGCAACCAAAGGACAAAAGGGACTTTGCCCAAAATGAGCAAACAAGGGTTAAGTTTAATTACAGAAATAAAAAGCAAGTAGAGAGGGGCGGTAAATCGGTAAATGTGGTAATATGAGTGTACAACTTACCTGCTGAGATGATAGCGTCTTGAATGGCAGGTATGTATGATTTTCTGCCATCCTCTGAAATTTTTATTACTTCTCTGTTCTTCAATGTTTAACTCAGTGATATATGCCTCACTGGTGGCTTCGGATTAGGGTGACCCACTTGTCCCAACGTGCCTGCCACTTACCTAGTTCCAGCACTAAAAGTCAGCTATATGGGAAACCCCTCAATCCTGGCAAACCAGGGCAGTTGGTCACTCTACTCAAAAGACAAAAAGAATTCCCTGACCAGATAAACTTGGGAAAAGCTACATCACGTCTATCCACGTGAATTATTGCTGCTATTACAAAGCAGATTACCACAGACTTAGTGGCTTCCAACAACACAGATTTATCCTCTTACAACTCTAGAGATCAGAATCCTAAGTGGGTTTTACAGGGCTAAAAATCAGTGTTATCCTCAGGGCTGCATTCTTCCTGGAGGCCCTAGGGGAGATTGTGTTTCCTTCCCTTTTCCAGCTTCTAGAAGCTAGCCACATTCCTTGGCTGGTGGCTCCCTCCTCCATCTCCAAAGCCAGCGATCACATCACTCTGACCCTTTACTTCCACCATCATGGACCCCTCTGGCCCACTCTCTCCTGCCTCCCTCCTTCACTTTGAAAGACCCCTGTGATTGTATCAGGCTCGCTGGATGATGCAGGGTAATTTCTCCATTTCCAAATCCTTACACTCAGTCCCATCTGCAAAGTCTCTTTTGCTGGGTCACACTCACAGGTTCCAGAGACTAAGACACGGACATCTTGGGGGGGGGGCGTTATTCTCCCTACCACACCCAGCCCTCTCAGAGAGTTGATAAAACACCTTAATGTATTAAAGGAGTGTTTTAAAGTCTCACAGGAAAAGAAATCTGTCTAATGGCTTAACCCAGTATTTTCCAAACTTATTTGGTCAAGAATCTCTTTACCCCCAGAGAGTACTACTTATCACCTCTTGGAACTCTACTGCTCTCACCGAAGAGGAGAATTCCGTGTAGTGTTCACACTGCCCAGAGTCCAGAGACCTCCCATGTGATGTGCAGATGAGGACGATTTTGAGGGAATTGATTTATAGATCCAACTCCTCTTTCTCACCTCAATACATACTCTTTTCACACTTTCCTGCCTGAGAAACAGCCTGAGGTCAAAGCATGGTGGACCTCTCTCCTTTCCACTGTTTTTAGTCAGAGTTCTCACCCATGAAGACTCTTACAGGGACAAATATATCACCCTGGGGTGCAGAACCTTCCTGGTCAGACACAGGGAGGACGTGGCGCTTTGGTGTTCGTGGTGCCTCTTTGAAGACACCAAACCCACCCCTACACATCTCATTTGGAGGTGCATCTCCAATAAAAATTTATTTTTTATGTTTAGTGTTTATCAACATTTTAATATTTTATATTGTACCCCAAAATAACTCACTCTAGAAGAAATGTTTTAAGGCTTGGAGATTTATGATCATTGGAATCGTCTTTTAATTTAAATTTCAATTTGTATGCATCCTTTGGCTGTAGAGAATTATGATGAATTGATCAAATAAAACATTTTCAAGCATAAAAATATATTAAGTTAAAATTCTCTGGGTGTCATGGAATAGAGATACAATTTCAAGGGGGGCAAAAGAACAATGTAACAGTTCTAATTTTTTTAAAGATTTTATGTATTTGACAGAGAGAGAGAGAAAATGAGTACAAGCAGGGAGAGCGGCAGGCAGAGGGAGAGGGAGAAGCAGGTTCCCCGCTGAGCAGGGAGCCTGATGTGGGGCTCAATCCCAGAACCCTGGGATCATGACCTGAGCTGAAGGCAGATGCTTAACCCACTGAGCCACCCAGGCATCTCTAACATTTCTAATTTTTAAAGAAGAGCTTGTGTTATATCACTGTAGTGCTATGTAATACTGGACATATTTAAAAGAATGATTTGACAGGCTAATTTTTAAATACTCACTTTATAATATGTAGAAGTTATATCTATTTACAAATTATAACTGTTTAACCTTAAGGTGAAAAATACTTGCTGTCAAGTTAAGGGTGCAAGGAGGTGCGTAGTTTTTCAAAATTCTTATGGGAATATATGAGCAAAAGGTGTGACAGCTACTGGTCCAGAGAAGAATGTTGGGATTGCTGGAGGGGAAAAGACTAGGAAGGAAGCCTTGATAAAAATGGCAGCTTCAGCCACCAGTGAGAACCAAGAAACACCTGGCGCAGTGCCAGCCCGCACTCCCTTCCTCCCCCAGCACCTGCCCTGGGCCACCAGTGCGTGAAGCACTGGGCACATGGTAGGGCTTAGACACAGGTCCTGGCTCTCACAGAGCGTACATTCTCGTGGCCGTCTATGCATTTGATCTGCTGCTTCTGTGTCACCCTGTGCTTGCTGCATTTCTAGAGAGCCTCTTAATGCACCTCGTTCTCAGGCAGCTTTTAGGAGGAGCTATATCTACAAAGAAATGACTCATTTATATATATATATATATATTCTAGAAGAGATCCATCTAGATTCCATTGTTCCCATCAGAATAATAACCTGAGTAGGCATACACCTATTTTAGTGCAGGGCCACTATTTAAGTCTTAAATCTTCTTCTGTGGGATTGATTTCTTCTTCTTCTTTTTTTTTTTAAAGCATACAGCATAGTCTTCTGAGCATCCTTAATACTTGTAAATATTTGTCTTTGGAATATGAATTTTTTTTAAGATTTTATTTATTCATGAGAGAGAGAGGCAGAGGCAGAGGGAGAAGCAGGCTCCCCAAGGAGCAAGGAGCCCGATGCGGGGCTCGATCCCAGGACCTTGGGATCATGCCCTGAGCCGAAGGCAGACACTTAACCGACTGAGCCACCCAGGTGCCATGGAATACGAATTTGATGTTTGGGGAACAAAGGTCATTCACACAAAGATCTGGTGACCGTAGCAGATGGTCAGACTGGGCAGAAGTATTTTTTGCTACAAACTCTGGAGGGCATAAATCAGGAGGTCTAGACTTTCTCATGGTAAAGAAGAGTCAGGACATGCTGTTGGTTTCCTTTGCACCTCGACTGAAGGGAACATCCTGCCCATGTCAGGGTCACTTGACTGCGAAGTTGCTTGAACATTCTATGGTTTCAGACTCGAGAGAGAGAGAGAGAGAGCTCCCTGGGCTGTAGGGTGCCCATGGTCCCGACTACCTTACTGCTGCTGACCCTGCCACACCAACCCCACTCCAGCCTGCGCCCCTCGGAGCTGGCAGCCTGAGAAACAGCTAGAAGCCTGAGAGCAGAAGACACTGTCCTGGAAGGGCCCAGGGCTGAGGGAGCAAGGCAGGGCCCGTTGTGAGGGGGCAGGTGGGTGGAGGGAGTACATATGAGCCTTGTTTAAGTTGTGTGGGAGTGTTTATTGAGTCTGTCCATGAGACCTGAGCATCCGGGTGTTAATCACTGTCCACCAAGCGAATGAGTCCAGGGTGGGCAGAGCACGTGGAACATAAGGTGGGGTGGCCAGGCGAGGCTCGCAGAACCTGGCATGTATGGCCACGTGTCCACTCTGCCTGTCCTATCTGTCACTTCCCTGTGGCCACAGAGCACTGGATACAGTCTCTATGGATCCTAGAAGGGTCTTCAGTTCTCAAAGGAAAACTACTTTTTAATATAAATTTGCACTGTATTTTACTACCTTCTTCTTCTTCTGCACTGTTTCTCTGGTATTTTACCTAGAAGACACCATTTCATCCCTGTGCCCAGAACGGAGCTGGGTGCTGTGGGAGACACTGTCTCCGTCCTCGGGCAACCTGACTCTCCTCTGGAAGAGTAATAATACGTGTACCTACCGTAGAGAGATGGTCAGTGGGTTTCTGATGTCAGCTCTAGCTAATTGGCGACTTCATGGAGTAGTTCATCAAATCTAAGACACCATCAATTGTAAGAGACTCTTTTATGTGCTCTTAAGAAAGAAGAATGTGCTGCCAATTAAACTGTGAGTGACTGCTTTCTTTTTACTTAGAAATTTTGTACTTATTGAAGGATCCTTTTGGACTTACTTAGACATAGTGGGGGGGGTTAACATCTATTACTCTTGTTCATTCATAAAGTGGAAAAGAAGAGACATCAATTGACTTTGGTTGTTCTAAGCTGTTTCACATTCAGGGCACTACTCGTCTGAAGCATCTTTGACTTGGAGTTGTCTGTGTGTTTCACACACGGTGCCCTTCTGTTCTCTATGCCAACTGAGGGCGTTGGTGAGGCAATATTTCTCCAAGTGCCCTTGACTTTTCTCCCAAATCTCCGGCTCCTGTTGTGCAAATTGCTTTCCTATAGATAAAGACGACAACCACAGCACAAGTGCCCCCTGGGAACAGGGACGGTAAGACACATACCAATTTCCAAGATACGAAACGTGAAAAAGAAGACCCCTGAGACTCAAAATATGGATTCTGAGACTCAGTCAAAAAGACCGCCGTGATCAGCCTGGGTATGTCCGCCCTGCACATGGCGCTGGTGTTGGTACCACATGCTTGTCGTTAAGCAGTAATTTGCACAACTGAATGGTGGGGTTCTCTGTGAGCTAATAGGGTCAGGAAGGCACTGTGCATGAACTAGGTCTGGAAAGGTGAGATTTGGCCCGGAAAAGAGGAGACCCCTGCCAGAGAGGGAAGAGGGCGATTGAGAAGATTCAAGAGGGCAAACAAGCATGGTATGTGGAGAGGACAGTGGAGCAATCCCGGGCTTTGGTGGAGTTTGGTGAGGGAACGGTGGGATCTAAAGGCATGAGTTTTTGCTCTAGGAACCTAAGTTCAAATTAGTGTGTTTCCCTTGGAGAAACATAATAAATGGTTCTCATATTTCTATAACTTTTCTCTCTTTCCTCATGATAGGTCCCGACGTTTTTAGTTCAAAGAGCCTTGCCCTTCAAGCCCAGAAGAAGATCCTGAGCAAGATCGCCAGCAAAACCATGGCGAACATGTTGATTGATGACACCAGCAGCGAGATCTTCGATGAGCTCTACAAAGTCACCAGAGAGCACACCCACAACAAGAAGGAAGCCCACAAGATCATGAAAGACTTGATCAAGGTGGCAATCAAAATCGGAATACTCTACCGGCACAACCAGTTCAGCCAGGACGAGCTGGTCATAGTGGAGAAGCTCAGGAAGAAGCTGAACCAGACGGCCATGACCATCGTCAGCTTCTATGAGGTGGAATACACCTTCGACAGGAACGTGCTCTCCAAGCTCCTGCACGAGTGCAAGGACCTGGTGCACGAACTGGTACAGCGACACCTGACGCCCCGGACCCACGGGCGCATCAACCACGTCTTCAACCACTTTGCTGATGTGGAGTTCCTGTCCACCCTGTATAGTCTGGATGGAGACTGCCGGCCCAACCTCAAGAGGATGTGTGAAGGAATCAATAAATTGCTAGATGAGAAAGTCCTCTGAATGCCTTCTCTCCTCCTGGACTTTGCTGAGTTCCAGCTACAGCACCCGGTGTGGTCCAGGTTAGAAACCAGAAAACAGGAAACCCTCGTCCAAGATGCCCGTGCCCTGCCCTAGTTACCCGTCTGCTGTTGATGCCAGATTTCACTCAGGTGTGTTTCTCCCCTGAGCCCACTGACAAGCTCTGTACCTCCAGTCACCTTGGTCCGCCAGCCCGAAGGACACATCATCCCTTCTCAGCGGAAGGCTGCTGTGCTCATCAAGGTGAGCTCGCTTCATCTTGTGGAGTGGAAGGAGCCCTGGACCAGGAGATGGAGGACCTGGATCTGGCTCCCGGCTTCACCAGTCCAGCCATCCTCGGGATCCTGGGACCACGACGCTCGCCTGCCTCCCTCCCAGGGCTACTCGCAGGTTCAAATGAAGCAACGTACGTTCACGCTTTTGAAAACTCTAACGTAAGGTCTTATTATTTTCTCTGTGGAGTGTGAGAGGGACCCACCTGGATCTAGACTACTATGCAGCAGAGAAGAAAAGAATAACAGTATCTAGTGGGCCAGGTCTACAGTCTGTCTCCAGATGTGCTGTTCCAGGCACAAATGAATACAAAGGTATGAAAAAGCATAGCTGCAGACCGGAAAACTTTTCTCCGAGGGCTGTGTTTTTAGGTCCCCGGCGCCGATTGATGATGCCGCAGAGGGAGTCCTGCCAGCGGGGTGGGGGTGTGGAGAATTTCCCACGCCTGACACAGGGGCAGAGAACCGTGCCCCCTGCAGACCCGGCCTCCCCCTCCGAGGGGCGCCACCCCTGAGGTGCAGAGGGCACATCCCGGAAGCACGGGAGAGCGGGCAGAACGACCCCCTATCCCTCTCTCCTGGCCTTTCACAGTCCCATTGTGCTAGTTTCTTTGGTTCATCAATAAATTGAAACTACCCTTCGAACAAGAGGCTTTGGAGTTGTGATTTCAAAATAAATAAGATGCCTTGGAGTTAGATACAGTGTTAAGAACAATGGGATTGAAAGGCAGACAATGCCGAGCAGGACACTCAGACCCTGGGAGGGGAGGGAGCGAGAAGGGGGGCAGGGCCAGCTCGCTCACGGACATGTGGCCACCTTCTCTGACCAGCTCCCAGCCTCGTTTTCACGCTGTGGCTTCTGACATATTTTTATCAGTTCTTCACAAACATCAGGACAGGGTATTGTCTGCCTTCTCATGTTGTCTGCGGGATACCACGTCAGGAGACTTGCTTCCTGCATCACCTCCCATCCCACGCCGCTTCTTGTACCTGCTGATAATGTCAGAATACCACATTAGCTCAGCCCCTGGCTCAGCCCTTCAGAAGACGGTTTGTGGAAGGCTGTGAGGCGACATCCTGTGAGCCTCCAGTGGCCATGCCGCCTCATGTCAACATCAGTGCAAACCATCAGTTAAGTTCTTCAGCTGCCAGCACTCAAAAGTAGTGCATAGGAGGGGTGCCTGGGTGGCTCAGTTGGGTAAGCATCTGCCTTCAGCTCAGGTCATGATCTCAGGGTCCTGAGATCCAGCCCTGCGTCGGGCTCCCTGCTCTGCGGGGTCTGCTTCTCCCTCTGCTCCTCCCCCGAGCTCATGCTCACTCCCGCTCTCTCTCAAATAGATAAATTTTAAAAAATAAAATAAAAATCAGTTCATAGGAAGGATGTCCAGAAGGGAATAGGGACGTCAGTCAGCTCCCAGCCCCCCCTCGCAGACCTGAGGACTGAATGTTGATGCCCTGTGCCCATGTGGGCTGGGGAGGTCGTCCCGGCAATGGAAGCTGCAGCTGACAGGCTCCTCCCTTCCCAGTCGCCCACTAGACAGCAAGCAGCCCAGCAATGGCTGATTTTTCACATGGTATCCTCAATGCCTGCCTCGGTGTACTCGTCTGATTAAGGACTCCTTCCTAGGGCGCCTGGGTGGCTCAGATGGTTGAGCGTCTGCCTTCGGCTCAGGTCATGAGCCCAGGGTCCTGGGATCGAGTCCCGCATCGGGCTCCCTGCTCCTTGGGAGCCTGCTTCTCCCTCTGCTTCTCTCTCTCTCTCTCTCTCCCTCTGTCTCTCATGAATAAATAAATAAAATCTTTAAAAAAAAATAAAAGACCCTTCTTTAAAAAAAAAAAAAAGGACTCCTTCCTAGTTTGAGAGATGGTTCTAGAAGCAGCAGGTCCTTTTTTCACTAAGCAGCTACCCGGAGAATTCAGACCCACCAGGACTGGGTGGGACTATCTTCTGTCCATCTGAGAAACAGCAGGGAAGAAGGCGGGGTCCCCAGGTTCTCCCCACTCCAGAGGCCACCACACACATCAGTTTCTGACAGTTCGTTGAGTCCCTAAGGTAACTGGGTCCTCCTTGTTCTCATCAGAGAAGGACGAGCACTTCCACCAGCACATCTCAGCGAGTGCAAAAGCAGAGTGTAGGCCAAAATCTGTTCTGCTGCCTTAGACCCCACCCCGCCACTGAGGTAGCCAAGGGGCTCTCTAGCGCGTGGCCAGTTGGGTGTATCTCAAGCTTATCAACAGTAGTCAGGGGGAGTGGGCTACCCGGGCCCAAGTAACCCACACGCCTCTAAAAATAGCCCAAGTCAATGCCATGTGTACATTTTAAACATAACCATTGGCATATAAACTCAAGTGATTATCAAGTTTCATCAGCCAGCGAAAAAAGCTTACAAATTTCAAACACTTCACATAACAATCTAGTGAACCAAAAAAAGAATCGCATTATTGGTTTATCCTAAGGACTCTACCCACATCACTCTGTGGCCCTGAAAGGCTGTTTTGGCTGAAAAAAAATATATATACATATGACAGAGACCAGCAGATGCTAGATGCTTTCCAAAACAGGACTCTGTAGATGTGCATTTGTGCTCAGAACTCTACAAAATTTTCAATAATGAGGAAGTTAGAATATCCGCCTTCAGGTGGCACCAAAAAGAACACATATTTCAAGAGAAGCGCAGGACAAAATCACTCCACCGAGCAGGCCCGGCATGCACTTCAGAGAGCAGGGCCTGGCTCAGCAAGCAAGGGCGCAGACGACACTCATTCTTTAAGAGTGGGGGTGGCAGGAGCAGTCTGCCTCTGTCATCGGGACACATCCCTAGGTCTTCAGCCATCTGTGAGCACCCAGGTCTGTCACCTGGGAGGACCTCGGACTTGGGCTGAAATCCCCCATCCCTGGTTGTGTGTCTTTCCTCAGGCATCTGAGCCCTGCAGAAACACATTCCCTGCCGGCTGTGCCTGCCGTGTGTCCGTGTCGCCCTTCCTCCCTGGGTTTGCATCTGGTGAGTCTCGACACCCTCGGCACCTCCAGGTCTCTGCTCAGCGACAAATCAAAATGAAAAGACTCCTCCATCTGTGCTTCTCCTCCAAACTCCCACCTCCCCCATCTGTACATTCTTCAGAAGCAAATCAGTACATTCATTGGCTCCTCAATGAACTTCTTGCATCCATTTATATTTTAAAAAAAGAGAGAGAGAAAGAGCTCAGGGCGCCTGAGTGGCTCAGTCGGTTAAGTGTCTGTCTTCGGCTCAGGTCATGATCCCAGGGTTCTGGGATCGAGCCCTACATCGGGCTCCCTCCTCCATGGGGAGCCTGCTTCTCCCTCTCCGACTCCCCCTGCTTGTGTTCCCTCTCTCGCTGTCTCTCTCTCTCTCTGTCAAATAAATAAATAAAATCTTTAAAAAAAAAAAAGTTCAAATCAGGCCTGCGTGCCCCCTGTCCCATCATCTTTGGGGGCTGTTTTTTTTAATTCAGTAGGGTCTCAGGTATCAAGAGCAAAACCAATCAGTGAAAATTCTAGATCAGCTAACTTTGGCTGTGAGAACACAGCAGGAGCTGTCCAGTAATGGACAGGGACTTTGACAACGGAGTTCTGGTGGGTCCCCAAGGCCCTCCCAACTCCAAATTGTGTGGCCAGTTTCCCTTATTTAGTCTGACTATGCTATGGGGGCCACAGACCAGACCCACCTCCTGCTCTTTCCTTAGAGGGAGGTTTTTTGTTGTTAGGGGGAAGACTTCTACAACCCATTCCTCAAAATGGCATCTAGGAGTCCCTGAGAGTTCTGGCAGGGGCTCGGGGAAAGAAGGCATGGTAGCAGGGGAGAGGGAAGAGGCCATGAGTTCTAAAGGGGGTTTGGGATTTTTGTTTCATTCTGGCAACTTTTTTTTCTCAAATAACATCAATGTAAGTACTTTCTGAATCTTGTGGGGATGAGACTTTATAGCTGGAGGATGTTTCTCTTGGTGCTTACAGTGTCATTCATGCCGAATGATCAAGAATTTAACTGAATGTACTTTTGCAATGGGTCTGTAGGTCTTCAGGGTCCGTGGGTTTTCAATTTTGAGAAATGTTAACATATGAAAGTGCCGCCTTGTCCTCGACGGTGCCTTACAACAGTTGAGGGACACAGCGACGGGCTGCAGGAAGAGCCGGACTCCCACAAGTCCTGCCTGCCCTTTGAAACTGGCCAGGAAAATCTCCCACATAGAAACCAAAGAACTGGCCAACCCCTCCCGGCAATCCTAATAATGAAACTCCAAGGTACAAGAGAGGCCATCACTAGAGACCGCAGGCACTGTTCCCTCCAAGGAAGGGAACAGAGAAGTTGCCTGCACCCCCTCGCATTCTATCCCAGTGCCAGCTTTGCTAAAATGCAAAATCCCAGGCATGAAGAGGGTGCGTGGCTCCGGGAGCCCAGGAGCTAACTCCTTGGCTGAACTTAAGAAGAAAGCACATGGCACTCAGGTACTGGTGTCATCGAACTCCTCCACACCCAGAAGAAGGAAGAACCAGCCAGAGCAAGCCATCGCTCACTCCCCCACCCCCCAACAGCCCCTCAGTACTGCTACTAACCTGTCATTTCCCTTCTTTGTCCTTCTTTTGCAGTGCTGGGGCAGGGCTCTGCAGAGTAGGGGTCCTGGCCACCCACCCAGGCAGCCAGAGCTTGGGCAGCCGGGCCCCCCAGGCCGCGGTATAAAGCTCCTCCTTGCCGACTGCCAAAGCCCTTCTGGACCAGTTCCTAGGACAAGAGAGTCTGGGGTTTGGCTCCCGAGGAGGGGCTGGATGGAAGCCAGAGCTTGGCACG